GCCTAAGTACTGAGTGTACGTGCCATTGCATCTGCGCTTATGGACTAGTAATGCATTTGTTTGGAAAGATGCTCCTGGCCATCCATGGTCAGCCATGTTTTTCTTTTTCATCGTTTTCACCTCTTTTGCACGTTCCATTCAACGGCTCTTTCAAAGCACTGTTTGGACATACATTGCGTTGTGCAGCAGTGCAATCAGCATTATGACATTGCAAGTCAATTGTATTGCTGTCCTATGCCCCGCGCGTGTAGCAAAACGTGCAATGTAGCTTTGGACACGACATCTTTTATGTGACTTGATGCACAGAATGGCGTCACCGCACTCACGATGGCAACTCGCAGGGGTCGCAATGATATAATTGAATTGTTGCAAAAGCGTGGCGCCGCTGATAGGGATGGAAGTTAGAGCTTGCGCAGGTCAGCAGCATAACCCATAGTATTGAGCTAGGAAGCGTCTTCAAATATCCAGTCACTTGTTGGAACACATTTTGCAGAAGGGTGCTTCGCGTCGCTTGGTCCATTGCATTCCAAGAACACATGTATGGATTCATCTACCGGCGGGCAGGCGTTTGATCTTTCTCTCGACTTCCTGTGCCCTCCAACCCCGCCTAATGAAGTCCTTTGGCCAGCGCACCAGCGGCTCTTTGCACCTCTGCCGCATGCGATGGCCATGGACAAAGATCAGTCCTGATAGTTTTGTGCGTTTTCACAACTCGCCGTTCATTCACGCCTCTGCACAAACCTTATGCGGCTTGCAGGCGCAGTCGATCCCAGCGTTAACAAAGGAATTGATGTAGCGAGCCATCTCGCCGAATTGCGCCAGAATATCTCCAGCTGTGAGAACTGGTGTGCCGTGGGACGCAAGCTCCTGTCCTTGAGCTCTGGGAGGCTTGTGACCCCGCGGGGCGCAGATGAACAGGGAGTGTCCAAGGTTTTCATCCGTGGTGAAGTATTTAACTTCCTAGGCAGTGCCATACCCTTGTGCTCTCAGCAAAAGCAGTCATGTTCCCAAATGGCTTCACTTGAACCTGGATCACGCCACCACAACACCATGGCAGCAGCGGCATCATTTGGGTTACCCAAATTAAATTGAATCCAAATTGGTTTCGTGACTGTTAAGCGTTAGTCAACTATGTGTATAACTACCTAAACGATTTTGGTCGAGTGCTGTTTCTTTTCCCAGAGAACTCATATATCAATACAAATAGGCACCCATCAGCCCCCATTTCGCCCAAGAAATCAGCGCCATGATATGTGCAATGAGAGTCCCAGATGTTGGTGCATCCAACCAACTAGTGGCCTGTTGTCCATTCGAACTGATAGATTCACGAAATCCACTGTATTCCAAACGCCACGACCCATTGTCTACAGCGGCCTATCACAAATTCTCTGTCGACAGAATGAGTGAACTCCAAGTGTGACTGCTGATTAGGGAGCTGAGCAGTCGGATCCCTGAACTATTAATAACAACGACTGTCATATGTAGAGCCTAACGCGCAGGACTCCCCCAAAATTACAACAACCGGTCCACAACCCAATGAGAAAATATCGCCACCCTTGACCAAGGCGTTGCGAAAATTTTCTTCTCTCAATCCAACCCGCACAGAGGATCCAAAAAGCACCTCTTGCCTCACAGCCCTTGCTTCTTGCTCTGTTTCCACAGCAATATCAGCTTGCCCTAGGGTGCCCCATTTCCTACCAAATCTGTGAGCTGAGTGTGTTTCTGGGCAAACAGTCTGACAGGCAATTGGCCTGCCAGACGGTCACAGATTATTTAAATGAAGCAGTCGTCCAATAAATACCCAGATCCAACAAATAACCCACTTGAGAACTCCGGACCCATGGCAACTTCAGCAATCAACAATTCTTCTTATTTGGTTGTTGCTCCTTCGAGACGACAACAAGCTTGCTGTCACTCTCCTCGTCTGTCGCAAATTCTACTGGAATGTCGAGCTGCAATTGCCCAGGTCTTCAGACCTAATTGATGCAAATAGTCTGTATTGAAAGAATGTTGGGCCGAAAGTTGCACTTTCGGAGGCGATCCTAGATGGTGTTTCCTTCTTTCCCTTCTTGACATTGCCGTTTGTGGATGCTTAAATTGTCTGATGGATCATGGCATATGATTTTTGAGGGAGCATTTCCAGAAATCCTTCCATAACATCTCGGATTGGCCAACTTCAATCACAACTCCGTGTATCCCATAACCTTCACCATTCCTTACCACTGGAACAAGCCATGCCAACTTCACGCCACCTTTCAAATATCCTGTCCAATATCTTGTTCCACATTGAACTTGAATACATTTTGACCTCCGTTTCTGCCAATACCGTGAATGGAGGTCGAAACGCGCAAGTCAGGCACTGCAACAGCCTTGCCGTGCCACATTGAGAGCCAGTTGCAGAGCCCGTAAAAACGTAGCAATGGTGCCGCCAATCCAGTTGTAGTGTCATGCTCTTCGTGAGTTTACTCTTTCTTCCACCTTCCTCCAGGAACATCAGTCTATCGCCGGTGTCTCTCGTTGCTCCTGGATCGGCACTTTGTGGCATCCCACTCTTGGATTGCAACGAAACCAGTCTAAATGCTCGAAGCAGGCCTCGCTGAAGGGGACCAGAACGTACAGAAATGCGCAGTTTGCAACAGCCCGACGTTAGTCATATACTATCTCGATGGTGTGCAAGTAAGCCCTTGCGAATAACTTTGTCAAGAGCTGGATGACTGTTGCATGACGAACATTGTTTTTGCCAGCGCACATCAGCAGCGGTGCTGTCTACTACAGCGGTGCCGTCTACTACAGCGGTGCTGTGCCCGCCCCAGCGCGTTCTCACCGGCACCGTTTCGTCCTTTGGCAGGCAATCGGCACGGGCAGAGAATGCCCCAAAACATAAGAAAACACACAGTTAAGCAAGAACAGGACAAGGAGGAGGGGCCAAGAGTGGCCCGCAAGCCGCACACCTGCTCCTGGATGCGAAAAGCATTTTTCTAAACTTAGCAAGGCACGGGCCTTGTTACGCACAAGGCGATCCTGCCCTTGGTCAGACAGGGAATTGTCCCCATTGCCGTCGCCAGCAACGCCAAACTGGCTGGTGGAACGACGGGCACGTGCGGGCTGATCTCCCTGCTTGCCAAAGCCCCGAGAACCCCGCTCCCAAAGTGCAAGAGGGCAGCACCCCAGATGCCAAGGTGCTTGGGCCAACTGCTGGATCCTATCTCGAGCACGGGGCGGGGGCGGAATCGTGGATGGGGACTCACCGATTCGCCGACATCGTGCGTGACGGCGGGAGGGCGGGGCAGCAGGCTGCGCCGCGGCTGACATGGCAGGCGGCGGGCGTCCCGCTGCCCACTTACCTGTCCATCTCCGTGCTGGAGCGGACTCGTGTCAGCTTCTCATGGCGCAGACAGCTTGCACTGTGATTCAATATTGGACGTGCATTGCAGTACATTGTAACGTACAGTAACAACATAATACATCAATACATAGCTGTAGTCAAGTAATGCATAGTTAATCAATGTATTACTAATACATAGTTAATCATTGTATTATTAATACATAATGCATGAACGCCTAATATACTTAACACGCAATACATGAACACATAATACATGAACTAATGTGCTGGTCGCGAGAGAGCCAATCAAACAAACGTCTGAAGGTGTCTGGGCCACGCCCAATGCAGGGCGGATGGTTTCGTGTGAGCCAATGGAGCCACATATGTGCATCAGATCGAGGGCCAGCTTAAATGAACTCCAACCTCCGCGATCCCGGACTCCGTCGGAGCATTACAAACGTAGTTATGGCGCAGGTCAAGTCCGCTCCCGACAACTGTGCGTCGAACACAGAAAGAAGCACACCAAAATCAGCATCCTTATTGCAAGGATTACACACGCCACCACGCGTCTCGCGTGACCGCCTCGCCGAAAATCTATCTCAAGTTTCAAGTTCGGTTATTGTCTTTGCGACACACCTGACGGACTACTCATGACCTCCCCCCCGCAGCGCGGCCGGATCAAGGTTCTCGTTTCACATCCCCACGTGCATCAACACATGACATGACTACCACACGACTCTGACCCCCCCCCTCTCCAGCGCCGCCATTTGGTGTCCCATTCTAATGAGGCAACTATTCTCTTCCCCGAAATGAAATGCCTCTGCGCATCCGCTGATTGGCACCCCCGCCAAACTGCACCGGCCTCCGTGGCTGCCTGGAATCTCCCGCGCTCCTCGAGCGCGCGGACATCCGGCCCTCTGGCAAGGCAGTCCCTCCAAACCGCCTCTAGCTCAAGACTACAGTGCGACGTCGCCCCGCCCCACCCCGACACGGGAACTACCTACAGAAGCACGAAAAAAGCAAAACTCCTCGCCTGAAAGGCCGCCCAGACACATTTATCCAAGCGAACGCAGATGTTCTCCACTCTCAAATTCGCCACCCGTGGCCCCCCCCATCCCCCACATCCGCAAGGGGGACGGGCCCATGACCGCCAGCCTGACCTGACACGCGCATTCACGCGACTCCAAAACGCAACTAGCCCTCGCGGCGTGCGCGGCGTCGCGCTCACGCTTCACCAGAGCCCCTCTCCAAAGAACCCCGAATCGTGAAAACCACAGAGAAACAGACACGCCCTGTTACTGGGCAGGTGAGGCCCGCAGAGGGGCAGCAGCGCAGGCAAGGACGGCAGCAATGATCCGTACTTAGCGGCATAAGGCCGCCGCTGGGAGCAGCTGCCAGTACTTTATGTCGGCCGTGCGCCGACGCCAACAGGCGGGCCAGGGGAGCGCCTTCAACCAGCCTCTGGTCTCCACAGCGCCCCTTATTATTCGGTTGACCCATTCACCAGTCCCAAATTCATGTAAGCGCCCCACCAACATGGCGCCGCTCGACAGCGCAAGGGGGGGCGCATTCTCGCCCGCCACTGCAATGTATATCGAAATCCCGCCACTGCGATATATACATATATCGATCGATTTGTAGCTTGAAGTCAACCGGAAGCTGCCGACCCCTGACGTCAGCTGCTGTCGTCACCGTAGGCCTCCGCCAGCCGCGGACTCATCTTGAAGGCCCTCCGGTAGAGGGACGCCGCAGTGCCCATCTCGCCCTCCGCCTCCGCGGCCTGCGCGTTGCGGAAGAGCAGCAGGGCGTCCCGGTCGTTGGGGTCCATGTCCTCGCCCACCACCCGCGTGTACATGACGTCGCTGCGCAGCATGTACTTGACGCCCGCCGTGACCGTCTCCCCCTCATGCAACAACCTGCGCATTCATCACAAATATATCTTACATATCAATGCGAGGAAGCAGCCTGTGCAGTCATTGAGCCGCACCAATGCATTCACTCAACCAGCCGGCCAAGTAGCCTATCTCTCGATCTATAAATGAATTGATCAATTCGTTTGTACCATCAGAAACTGTGCCGTGCCCCGGATACGTGCAGCCACCGTACGCTCGTCAATATCTTGAAGATATGGGCGTCGCATATCTTGGCATGCATACCTGGAATTTAGATTCGTCAAATGTTGACTGCGCTTTATTCACCCTTCGAACCAACGGCACAAGCGTGTGGCCAGAAGTGGCCGGGAGCTGAATATTGATGCTACGCTCTTATAGGGAAAACCCGCACAGTAAAACACTCAAATATCAGTGTTTCGAAACACTGAACCGTACAGTACATTACGCATATGGAGGAAAGCCATTCGCTTTAAGCTCTCCAAAAACAGCATGCAATAAAGAGACCCAGCGGTTGTCCCATGAGCGAGGCTAAACAATGAAGCTGCATGCAGGGCAAGTACAAGGAGGCAAAACAGGAGCCCCAGTCCTTGAGCATTAAAACAGCACCAGAAATAGAATTCATTTATGGTTGGGAAACGATTCGGTTTGATGCCTAGAGCAATCCAATTCATTCGTGGTCGGCAAATCACAAGCATCCTCCCTTCGGCACGTCGTCGCTGTTTTGAACCGGAGTAAACATCTGCTTTGGCGCAAACAATGTTCCAAACCCACATGCAATTCATAAGAAAAACCATCGACGAAGCAGCGCATTGAAGCGCATCATCATCATCACATCATAATGCCATCATGACGAGATTGCCCAGTGCCTGACTTCCAATTTTGTTTCATCCATGTTCCTTCTGTTTTGCAACAGATAAGTGATCCTTTGGTGCAGCCACCTGTGATTGAATATGATCGCTGTGCCGGCCTCCGGCATGACTTTGTGCCGGATTTGATCTGGCGTGGCGCGTGGCCGGCGTTCCTCGTTGCTCTGTAGAGGCGCCACGTCTTTCAGAAAATTGGTTGCACCGCCCTCAAAGTCATCGTTGAGGTATACCATGATGGTCTTCCAAGAGCGCTCCTTGTCGCCCCTCTGCCTGCACAACGCCTTTGTGAGCCAGCCAAAGTCCTTTGAAAATCAATAAGTCCATTGGTGGCATCTATTGATGCGCATTTCAGGACATGTCTTCATTGCAATGTTCACTTTAAAGGATACAGAAATAGAAGCAGCCCCATGATCATGCTATCTATACTGTGACTCTGAGCTGCCGGTTACAGATAGCCTACAAAGGATGACAGAATGTAGGAAGTGAGTGACAATACACTTTTGACAATGTTGCAAGTGCCTTGAAGAAAACTTGCATACAAGATGTTGATTCCCACAAACCATTGGGGCATGTGGAATGCTGTCCCGTACACCTTCTGCCATTGAAGCCACCTTCAGGCATGACAGAACTTTCATACTTCCCTCAAGCTGGGGGTTTCTGTGGCCATAGTACGATAGCAGAACAAACTTTGCACCTCAGCACACCTCAAGCATGTGACTGACACAACTGGACCATGACCAGCTCCAGGATTCAGCATTGGCGCACTGGAATCCAAATTCCTTATTCATACAACTTTCATTATGTACTCAAGGCACTCGATTTGTTGAGTGGGGTGCTGGCATTTCTCCAAAAGGTAAAATGACACCAACAATGGAATTCGGACCACACTGGGGATGTCCTAACCCGTGGTGTGTGACAGCACGAGCAAACCCACGGATTGCTGACCGGGGGAGCAACAGCTCGGTGACCAGGCGCTCGAAAATTCTCTCTCTACGTGATTGCCTTAATCCCCAGCCACTTGCCAGGCCACTCCAAACGCCACCGCTGTGTACTCCAGACTCAAGGATTTTGTTTGGCGCACGCCCTTGACAAACTTGATGAACGGGATTCGCCAACGCTGGCTGATCATCACTCACAATTTCGCCAACCGATTCTCACTTTTCACAAACGCTGGACTGCGTTGTCACCGACCCAATTGCCATCATCATCATGCATTCCAACAGAACAAGGCAAGGAGCCGCCAGCTCCTCCTTTGCCCCGGCAAGCAGTGTCCGTGTTCAGTTCATTGAAATCTAATGCATATCGCAAACAAACTCCAGGCGGTTACCAAATCGCCACCGCCTGCCTCCACGGAGAATCGCATTGACGTGATGCAAGCCCAGCGCCGCGTGACGTAACGCCGGGACCACGCCACCGGGAACCCCCCGGGAAGTCCCCCCCGGCACCACGCGGATGACTCACCCCGCCCATCAGCCCACGTGGGCCACGGCCCGTGGTTCCTGCCAGGTGGTTGCGGGCCGCCTGCCCCCCACACCCACCCCGCCGATGACGACGATAAAACACTGCCCCCCCCCGTCCAAGGTCCTTGGGCAACCTCCGGTCACGAAACCTCAACCTCCCTTCCCTGGCTTTGTTCGCCCCCCCGTGGCCCCACCTGACGAACATGCCGTCGCAGTGGTGCGCGCAGGCCGCCTCGCCCGTATACTTGCACGCGGCGAACGTCCGGCCGATGCCGCAGGCCTTCCACACGCCGTTGGCGCCGAACGGCTCCTGCAGGCTGGGGTCCGGCTCGCCGATCCCCACCACCACGTCGGAGATGAATCGCTCCCCGTAGCGCGCCCACATGAGCGCCGCCAGCCCGGGCGAGTCCGCCACCACGCGGCCGGCCCCGCCCCCCCCGGTGTCCAGATCCGAGAATCCCAGCCCCTCCATCACGCCGATGTAATGCCGGCACTCGGACTTGGACAGCGCGTGGCGCAGCAGGAACGCCCTGTCCCCCCCCAGCGGCAGGGCCTCCCTCTCCAGGGGCTCCAAATCCGGCGCGTCCTCGAGCGGGGAGAAGGCGTGGGCATGCGAGGCTGCCGGCTCATCGTCCGGCCCCCCGCCGCTCATGATGGCGAGCGACCTCTCACGGGGGGGGGACTGGGGCGCCTGGGCGGCCCCCCGTGGCTGGGGCGCCTACGGGTCAGCCCGCCCGCCCGGGGTCACGGGGGGGGAAGGGAGGGGAAGCTAGGCAGAATACATGCGGTAAAAAATCGTGGCACTCCATCCTGGGGGTGGGGGAGGCCGGGCGTGGGGTTAAATGGCGCCTTGGGGGCCTTCCCACGTCGTACACCCCGGTTGTCCTGCCATCAGGGGCGATGGGTCCTTCTTGGACGGGCATGAGCGACCTGGGCGCAGGGGCGGGTGGGGCTGGGCGAACATCGGGCGGCCTGCGCGTCTGCCTGAGGGGCCGCCAATCTCAAGTTGAGCCGAATCTGGCGGTTGATTGATGGATTTGGGGGGGGGTCCTGTCAGCGAGCGATATCGTCGTGACACACGGGCGCGCGCGGAGGGGAGGGGCGCCCCGCTGACAGGGCGGCCGATCCAATCCTCGACGGGTGGGCACCTTGACCGCAGATGGCCGTGCATCAGTCGCCTGCCGTACTCCCGGGGCCCACCTCAGCCCTTCGTAACGATGGGCGCATCCTCCCGGCGGCCCCGCGGGCGCGTGGGCTGCACGGCGTCGGCGAGGTTCTTGTGGATTGGTTTTGGGCGGTGGCGGGCGGCTGTGGGCGCCTGTCGCCTCACAGGGGGACGGATCCTGCGAAGTCGGGCGCGTGACCGCGAGTTGACAACGTGGTCGTGCGCGAGGCCGTAAGGCCGATTACCACCCATGACTACGACGTGTTGGCGCCCCGGGGGGCTGTCAGGCAAATCTACTGGGTGTGTGGGACGCAGGGTGCACGTGACGTTGGCCTCCATGTGAATGCTTTAAGCACTCGCAATGCGAAGGGCATGTGGGTCCCGAGTTCGACTGACTGCCTTTGGCGAGGATTGCCGCGAAGTGCGGCCCGAAAACTTCCCGTGGAGGCGCCGTAAGAGTTTGCAAGGCTACGAGACGTCAGGGCTGGGAAGTCTTCCCCTTGGGAATCGGGGCGACGAGAGTTGGCAAGCCAGAGGCGCGGGTGGCAGCGAGAATGGCCTCGGGTTTTTTTCCGAGGAGAGTCCAGGACAGTTTGCGAGGGAATCAGACGACGAAGCTTGGAAATCTGCCGTTTGGAAGCCAATACCTGAGGGCTTGTAAGCCACGACGGAGGTGGGCACTTTGGGCTGCACAAAGGATGGGTCGACGCTGGCACGCCCACCGTGCCAGTAGCGAAATGGGCCTGAGAAATTTGGTGAGGAAAAGCCCCAGAGGAATACTTATCCGAAGTTTTAAGAGGCATGAAATCGTCGGAACTACGAGTTCAAATGTCAGAAGTTCAGAATAAGAGTCAGAATGATCTGTCAGAATTTCTTACATAAGTTTTCAGTGTCCAGCTTTATGAGGCAGAACGCGGGGCAGCGTTCTGCTTAGCATGAAGAGGAATCAGGTGGCACGCTTCCCCGACTGCTTGACACGAACCGGTCTCCAAGGGTGAGCAAGCACCCGCCAAGGTGTGGGCCTGCCGCTGTTCCACGGGGTCATGTTGACATCTACCAAACTCAGTCTTATCCATCACGGGTGGATTTGGGAGTAAAAGACTTCTACTAAAAGTCAGAAAGGTATTGACACGGATGGTCGGGAGAAAGCTTTCATGGATTGCTTTGGGGTGGCATTGATACAAGTGGAGGACTTACCAAGGACCAGGCCCAGGACCCAATCTACAAATACACATTTTGTGATCTAGTTAGGCGCGTAAGGCCTATAAAATTGCAGCTTGGGGAACAGTCGAGAAAGGCGAAAGTAAGGCGACCACAAAGATTGCAGGAAAAGTCGATACTGTCACCGATACAAATTAGGTTCGCGCGCTAGCCCCTACTCCATCAGTTCTTTGAGAACATTTTCCCTCGCCCCTCTCCTGTTCCTCAAACACTACGGAAAAAGCAGGCCAGATGACACGGTCAGATTTTAAGCAGACTGCGTCATCCAGCACCTTTTTCGGTAGTGAAATTGAGGAAAAAAACAACATCCCTCAAGAGTGCTTGAGCGTTTCGGCAACTTGCTGCCACAGGGCTTGCACAATGGCGAACGCGACGTGTGCTGCTCTCCGCTTTACGGAAAACACCGCATCGCCATCGGCTAGCGCATATGGAGGCCATCGCTGCAGCGGCAGCTGCTGGATGGCAATTTTGCCGCCAGATAGCGCAAGGGAAAAGAGCATGACGTTTCCTCTCACCGGAATCGGAAGTGGTCTGCGAATTCGACTGCTGGGACTGTACCTTTTCACAGGGCGGGAATTCCCAGAGCATGGAATGTCGGGCAACGTCAAGCGCTCCGTAGTTTGTGCCAACAATCTGTTTCTGGCAAATACAGGGAAAATTGTGTTTGCCGACTCCTTTGGTCCGCAGCAATAATGTTGAATCGGCGTCAATCTGTGCACTGCAATATCCTAACTCGGCACCGACTCAACACACGTCGACAATACATTAGCGCACAGCAGAATGATGATAGCAATACTGTTATCAGAGCATCATGGTGCAACATTCACCGGTGGAAAATGGCACCCAACACCCTCAAGACTGCAAGACATTGCCCCCACTTATTCACTGTTTAACTGAGAAACAAATATTCAACATGGTTAGGTTCGGCTTGCGACTGTGTGGCGTTTTCCTTGCGACCATCACGTCAGCTGACTGCCGTGATGTGACTCCTTGTTGCAACTTCGCAACGAGGGTCACATCGGGCGTTCGATTTCCCCCTCGATCTGCACGGGCCCCCCAGGCTTCGTCATGCGCGTGGCCGCGTGACACCGTGGCTCACTTTGTCCCTCCCGCGCCCCGCATTCCCTGCACTTTGGCCCCTCGTGCGTGCAGTACGTGCCGCCACAAACGCTAAAACCTCACATGGGACGTGGGACCTCCCCCTCGCCCCTTGGCCGCCACACTCCACGTACTTCACCAGACAGCGCCGCCAGTACACAGCACAACAAGTACTTAAACCGTGCCCAAAATCTGCTGCGAGCGTACCCTGAGTACAGTACTATTGCAACACACATAACTCATCATCACGCACATCGGCGCCGTCCCAATGAACCTCGTCGCTGCAGCT